TCCTCCCCCCCCATCCCATCTGGGGTGTGAGGGGGGGCCCGAGGACCCTGGGACCCATCCCATCTGGGGGGGGGGCCCGTGATCATATATCTCCGATTCCGGGTCGATGTCCCCCCCCCCCCGCGCCAGTCCCCGCCGTCGTTCCCCCCCACCTCCGTCGAAGAACAAGGAAGGACATAGACACACATCTTCGGCGGTCCGCGCGGATTTCCGGGGTCGGCGCTGAGCCCCGCTGTCCGGCGCTGCCTGCGGAGCCCCCCCCCTGGCGCGCTCCGCGCTCCAGGGAGGGGAGCCCAGCGCCGACCCGAGACGTCCGCGCGCACCTCCGAAAGCCCAACGTCTGCGATGATCTTCGTGTGCCTCGGGACGGCAGGGGGCCTCTTCGAGGTCGCCCCGACGCGTCGCGAAGACTAACTTGCGCTTCGCGCCGGCGCGGTCTGGACAGGGAGAGCTGCCCCGCTCCCGAGGGGGCGGCAGCGCGACGGCGTGGGGGCGCGAAGGGAGCTGCGCGCGGCGAGCCGCGCGGGCGGCCCGCACGCCCCTGCCCCGGCACGGGTGGATCCGGGCGCGGTGCGCGAAGCTAGGCGGCCCTGGCTTCTGGAGAGCCCCCGCGGGAGAACGCGTCCTCTCTCTCTCTCTCTCTCCCTCTCTCTCTCTCTCTCTTTTTTTTGGATCGGATGAAGCGGAGGAGGAGGAGGAGGAGGAGGAGGAGGAGGAGAGGAGGAGGAGGAGGGGAGGAGGAGGAGGAGGGAGGAGAAGTGGAGGAGGAGGAGGAGGAGGAGGAGGAGGAGGAGGGGAGGAGGAGGAGGAGGAGGAGGAGGAGGAGGAGGAGGAGGAGGAGTTACGTAGGTGGCCTGGCTTCTGGAAAGCCCTCCTGCCTAGGCCTTCTCTGGAGCCTCCGCTCTCGACGCTTCTAAGTGTCTCTTCTGCCCTGCTCTGCCCTCTGCTGCGCCCCCCGCTACGTAGGGTGCTCGGACAAGAGGTGTCCACGCCGACGGCGCGAAGACAATCACGCACGATGGCAACGACGATTGCAATCTACATGTGGCGCGCCCCCCCTCCCCCCCAAACCACAAGCTGGAATGTCTCCATATTCTGTCCTCCGCGCGCTGCCTCGCACCCGGCCCCGTCAACTTTGGGGTCGGGGGGGGCGGGGTTTGTGGATATCTGTTCGGCGCAGTTCGATGTCGCATCATCTTGGCGCGATGGGTGTGGACACTTTTTGTCCATGGCCACGTGACGTGGCGTCCTCTCGTCGTCGTCGTCGTCGGAGGAGGAGGAGGAGGAGGCGGCGGAGGAGGAGGAGGAGGAGGAGGAGGAGGAGGAGACGTTAGGTGACCTGGCTTCTGGAAAGCTCTCCCGCCGTCCAAGAGGCCTTCTCTGGAGCCTCCGCTCTCCATGCCTCTAAGTGTCTGCTCTGCCCTGCGCTGCTCTCTGCTGCGCCCCCCCGCCGGTGCACCTCTCTGCTTGACCACGCGACGGCATCCTTCCAGGCTGCTCCTGCAGGGGTGCCCACGGGACCTGCCGGAGCCTCCGAGCCCTCTCGGGAAGCCTCCTGACCTCTGCAGGAGGCCTGCACGCCCTTGCCCGGAGGGTTTCTCCGAAGGGCTTGGGCGACCCGTCCTCCTCCTCGTCCTCCTCCTCCTCCCTCCCCTCTCCTCCTCCTCCTCCTCCTCCTCCTCCTCTCCTCCCCGCGTCCTCCTCTCCTCCCCCGCGTCCTCCTCCTCCTCTCATCCTCTCCTCCTCCTCCTCCTCCTCCTCCTCCTCCTCCTCCTCCTCCCAGTCCCCCTCGTCCTCCTCCTCCTCCTCCTCCCTCCTTCCTCCTCCTCTTTCCTCCTCCTCCCTTCCTCGTCCTTCCTCCTCCTCCTTCTCCTCATCCTCCCTCCTCCTCCGTCCTCCTCCTTCACCCTCCTCTTTCCTCCTCCGTCCTCCATCGCCCTCCTCCTCCGCCTCCCTCCTCCTTCCTCCTCTCTCCTCCGCTTCCCTCCCTGCCTCAGCATGCTGATGGAATGTACCTGTCGTGACACTATGTGATCTATTCCTCCCTCCCTTCTCCCTCCTCCTCTTCCTCCTCCTCCTTCCTCCTGCTCCTGCTCTGCTCTTGCTTCTGCTTCCGCTTCTGCTCCTGCTGCAGCTGCTCCCCCTCCCTGGCCTCCCTTTCCCATACACCTCGCGCCTCGACTTCCTCAATGCGTGCCTTCCCCCCCCGGAGCTCTCGGTCCTTCCCCCAGGGCCCGTTCCTCATCCCCGGTCGCGCTCTTCAGGGCCCCGGAGGCCCGAAATTCGGCCTCTGGAGGCCCAGAATGATGACACGCGGGCCGGCTCGATTTTTGCTCGAGGCGCCGTATGTCTGAGAGACCGTCGTCGTCGTCGTCGTCGTCGTCGTCGTCGTCGTCGTCGTCGTCGTCGTCGTCGTCGTCGTCGTCTTAGTCGTCATGGTCGTTGGTCGTCGTCGTCGTCCGTCGTCGTCCGTCGTCGTCGTCGTCGTCGTCGTCGTCGTCGTCGTCGTCGTCGTCGTCGTCGTCGTCCGTCGTCGTCGTCGTCGTGGTCGTCCGTCGTCGTGGTCGGCGTGGTCGTCCTGGTCGTCGTGGTCGTCGTGGTCGTCGTCGTGCGTGGTGCGTCGTCGTTCGCCGCCCGTTTGTCGCTTCGTCCGCTGTTCGTCGCTACGTCCGCGCCGCCGGGAGGAATTCTGCCGGGGGCCTCTCCGTCTCGCCCGCCCCGGCCGCACCCCGCCGCGGCCGCACCGCCGCCCTGCGGCGGGCAGCCTGGCGCACACCGCCCCTCCGGCCCGCGCAGGCGGCGACGGCGCCACCGACCGTCGGACGACGACGACGACGACGACGACGACAACGACGACGACGACGACGGCGACGACGACGACGACTTGGATTGCGCTGCTGAGCGTTGCTCGGGGTTATTGACGACAGACTTGTGGCTTTGCCTTGGCTCCCACTCTGTGTGGGCGGAGGCCTGTTACGAGGACGACGACGACGACGACAAGGGACGACGAGGACGAGCACGAGGACGTGGACGAGGACGAGGACGAGGAGGTGGATGGGGACGGCGACGACGATCACGACGGCGACGGCGATCCGTTTTCCTCGGGACCCGTGCCCTGACCACCCTTTCCCAGGACCGCCCTCTTCCGCCCCCGGTCGTCTCATGACGGCCCCGAGGCCCCTGCAGGGGCCCCCGGGTCCCGAGCGTGGCCCAGAGCTTCCGCCGTGATAGCCCCGCGGACGGCGGCGACGACGGCGCCTCGGGCGGCGCCCGACGGCGGCGCCCGACGCCGGGCGACGCCGGGCGGCGCGTGGCCGGCGCCGGCGGCGGCAGGCAGCGGGACCTCGGCCACCAGCAGCCCGCTTCCCTGGACGGTCGGCGGCCCGCGCAGCCCGCGCCGCCCAAGGGGGCGGTCAGCTGCAAGGCCCGCGGCGCCGCCGCCGTCGGCGCCGCCCCGCCCGTCGTCTCGAGGAGCCCGCCGTCGCATAAGAGCGAAGACACTGTCGGAGGTCCGCGCGGAGGTGCAGGGTCGGCGCGGGGCCCCCCCCCCTTCCCTGGGCATTTGTTGGGTCGCGGGGAGCGCGCCGTGGGGGCTCCAGCGCCGATTGCAAGAGCTCCGCGCGCGCCTCGGACAGTTTTTGTGAGTGCACTTGCTTTTCCTCGATCTTCGTCGTCGCCGCCGCCGCCGCCGCCGCCGCCGCCGCCGCCGTCGTCGTCGTCGTCGTCGTCGTCGTCGTCGTCGTCGTCGTCGTCGTCGTCGTCGTCGTCGTCGTCGTCGTCGTCGTGGTCGTGGTGGTCGTCGTCGCCGTCGTCGTCCTCGTCCTCGTCCTCGTCCTCGTCCTCGTCCTCGTCGTCCTGGTCCTGGTCCTGGTCCTCGTCCTCGTCCTCGTCCTCGTCGTCGTTAACGTCCTCGTCGTCGTCTTCGTCGCCGTCGCCGCCGTCGCCATCGCCGTCGTCGCAGTAGTTTCTGTCAGTTTGCTGTTTTTTGGCATCTGTTTCGTTGTGCGGGTGTTTTTTTCGCATATTTGTTTGTTGTCCGCTTGCTGGGGCTCGGAGGCCTGCAGGGCACCATCGGGGACCCTTCGCGCCCTCCAGGGACCTCCTTAGCAGGAGGAGCAGGGACGATTCGAACAGTGATGCCGTTTCCCACCCTGCTGTGAAACGGGCTCGTTGTGGCTACGGCACTTCCTCCCTCCTTGCTTCCCTCCTTCCGCCTCCCCCCCTCCTCTCTCCCTTCTGATGTTTCCCGTATCTGAAGTAGGGTTTTTTCTTACTATCGGGACGCCTCCGCCTCCTCACTCACTTTTTTCCTATATATATCTATCATTCCCTCACTCTCTCGCATCACACTCAGATCAGTCACACTCATATGTGCTCACACTCAGGTGCACTTGCGCTCGGACTCCTCACATTCAGAGACCACTCATACTCCGGCACACCGACAAGGGCACACACTCACACTCAGGTTCACTCGGGCTTAGGCACTCGTACTTGGACCCACTCACAGTTGCACTCGCCCCCATTTGGATCCCTGCCTACTCCGCCAAATCCGATTGATACTCTCACACATATCGCTCATGCCTTCCGGAGCCAGAAGCCCAAGGAGGAGCCGCCAGGGGTGGGGACATCTGCCCGTTTACGCCCCGATCGTGGGGGTGTCTCAGGCGGCTTGCCTGTTTTATTGATCAGAGCATTTTTGATATTATGTTTTTGTTGTTGTTTTGGTTTTGTTTTGTTTCGCCTGTTTTGTGGCTTTGGGTCTGTTTTGTTTTGTTGTTCTGCCTGGTTTGCTTTGTTTTGCTGCTCGTGTTGTCTGTTTTTTCAGAGCCCCGTGCCCATCGCGATGTATCAGGCGTGGCACTTGAGCTCCCCAGGGAGGAGCCGCCAGGGGGGCGGGACACTTCCCGGTAGGCGTGGCACTTGAGCACTGCAGGGAGGAGCTGCCAGGGGGGGCGGGACAGTTGCGTTCGCGCCCAGATGGTGGGGGTGTCTCGAGCGGTCTGCCTGTTTGGTTGAGCTGACTCCTCTCTCTTGAGAGCCCACTTCTGCTCGCGATAAAGCAGGCGTGGCGTTTGAGCATCCCGCGGAAGAGCCGCCACGGGTGGGGGCATTTGCCCGTATGCGCTCAGATTGTGGGGGTGCCTCGGGCGGTTTGCCCGCTTGGTTGATCAGTTGTCTGTCTCTTCAGAGCCCCTTGCTCCTCGCTGGGTAGCAGGCGTGGCGCTTGAGCACTCCAAGGAGGAGCCGCCAGGGGGGTGACAATTGGCCCGTTCGCGCACACATTTGCTCGTTTGGTCGATCAGTCTTCCTTCTTTTCAGCGTCCCACGTTCATCGCGATGTCGCAGGCGTGGCATGTGAGGAGCCCAGGGAGGAACCGCCAGCGGTCGGGAACATGTGCCGCTTCGCGCCCCGATTTGTGCGGGATGCCTCGGGAGGTCGGCCTGCCTGGTCGATCGGGCGCCTTTCTCTTCGGGGCCCACCCGTAGGGGCCACAGGCGAACCCGACCCCCCCCCCCAGTTTCGGAGGGGGGGTACCCATCGGTCGTTGAAAGTAGGTATTTTTGGATTTCCCGATTCCAATCTACTTTAAGAGTCCTCCTACTTCAACGATCGAGTGGACTCACCTTTTCCCTCCTCTTTAGGGGTCTCGGGCGGAAACACAATCTGTTTTCAACGCCTTCCTACTTCGTGCTTCTGCCTACTTTCTCCGACCGATGGGTAGGGGTCGGGTTCGCCCGTGGCCCCCTGAACCTGGTCCTGGTCCGACTCTCGTCCCCGCAGCACTGCCCCCACGCTGCTGCGAGCCCGCGCCTGGCGGCTCGCCGGGTCGCCGGCGCGCAGGCCCTGCCACACGCACACGCAGCCCATGCCGCCGTACAGCCAGGACGCTGCCATTAAGGAGCGCCTCGGGTGCGGAAGGGGCTCGCTGTGCCTCAAGCTCTGGCATGGCTCCTCCTCCAGCACTCCTCGCGCACCGAGGCGCTTCTGGGGCCAAGAAGGGGCTTCGTCCCTTATTCAGCGTTCCTTCTGATAGTGCCTCGACTGTCTGGAGCAGCGCAATCCGGCGCACGAGGCGGCAGCGGGCGACAACCGGCAAAGTGATGGCAGGGAGGGTCGCTGGCGCTCGGGCTTGCGCGTGCGCGGCCTCGCTTACGCCCGGGCACGCATGCAGGAACGGGGTGCGGAAGTCATTCCCGAACTCCTCCCGCCGTCGCACGCATGGCATGTGGGCGCTCCGGGGAGCCGCTTGGGAGCGCTCGGTCGCCACAGGCCAAGATCCTCTGACTTAGACACGCACTGGCTGGAGAGGGAGTGCCGGGCACTGAGATGCACAAGTTGGGAGCTTCGTGTCGTCTCCCGACCTTCGTTCGGTGGGGAGCTCTCTCTGGCTAGAGCACTGCTGCTCGGTCCTTCCCTGCTCCTCTCCTCTCGCCTCCTCCAGCCTCCTCCCCCCTACAGATCATGGTTATGTAGCTGTAACAAAGACAACCCAGTGTACGACAAGAGCGACTTCATGATTCCTCGTGCATGCAGTCAAGGAGAATCTCAACCATGTTATTGGTATCGCGGCCTCATTCCGCGGGCGTGGACGGACACGCCAGCCCCGCAGCTTGCAGATGATTGGCATGTGGACGGGCTGAGTCATGGATTCACAGCGGACTGTTTACCAGCAGGATCCGAACGGGCACCGACGCGAGTTTTTGGAGATGCCAGCGGGGGCCCAGACACAGCGGACCCCCGACTGCGCCGAGTGGCGCTCGGCATCGCCGTTGTCAGCCAGGTACTAGGTGATACTATTATTGAATGTTCAATTGCTGGAGGGCTTGCTGGTATGAGGCAGACCGTGGCGAGAGGAGAACTCAAGGCGTTTTGGCTTTGTGTATTCACATGTTGTGGACATACACAATTCATCACTGATTGCGAGAACGTACTCAAAGGATGGAATGCCCAGTTGTATCTCAACCCCAAGGGGGAAGATGCAGATATATGGGCGATGATTGGTCAGATTCTCATGACTAAGAGTGCGTCTCTTATCGAAGTTATTTTTGTACATTCCCATCAAGGGGCAGAGCAGATGGTGTCAGGCCAAGCCCCAGCTTGGCAGATCGTCGGCAACACGGTGATTGACGAGATCGTGGGACTGATGGCGTTGGAAGTTCGACTGGAGCCAGGAGTTCGACATCGTATTCATGTCTTGGAGAATGAGACGTATCTTCTCAGGCATCGGCTATTGCATGCTGCTCTGGACAGTGTACGAGCAGGAGCTCGACATGTGAGAGGAAAGCGCCTACCTCCTCCTCCCCCACCTCCTGCTAAGTCAGTTGTAGTTAATTTTACGACCTCCCACGTGTTGTCGGAGAGCGGCAAGAGCTGCACCAGGTGTTTTGGTACGGCCTCCCTGGCCACCGCAGGCCTCTGGAAGGCCAGCCCTTGTTTTCACCCTGTGAATATAAATGGTTCGTTTTTCACCCTCGGGGCTGAAGACAATATTCACATAGGGGGGGGCTGGGTCCATAAGAGCCACAGTATGAGATTATGTACTAAACTTCAGTTGTGGTTTTGTCATGTCTGCGGTAGCTGTGCCAGTCAGAGGAAGTGTAACCTTCACAAGGAGTGTAGTCTCAAGGCCTCACCCACGGGAACCGAGTACCTTCGGAGAATCGAGCTAGGCCTTCAACCTAAAGTGTTGAGTAAGACCGAACAACAGAATCGGCTGGCCTCTGCTCGGAAGGATACCTCCCTGGGATAAGGCCCCTTTTCCTTTTTTTTCACTTAGTGAACAGACATTCCCATTCCCATTCCCTGTGTTCTGCCCAGTGCGCACGTGTGGCCACTTTCGTGAGCTCCTGGGGGGTCCTGAGAGGAGGAGGAGGAGGAGGAGGAGGAGGAGGAGGAGGAGGAGGAGGCGGAGGAGGAGGAGGAGGAGGAGGAGGAGAGGGGGAGGACGATGGAGGAGGGAGGAGGTAGAGGAGGAGGAGGAGGAGGAGGAGCAGGAGGAATGAGGATGGAGGAGGCGGAGGCGGAGGAGAAGATGGAGGCTGGGGAGGGGGAGGGGGAGGAGGATGGTGGAGGCAGGAGGAGGAGGAGGAGGAGGAGGAGGAGGAGGGGAGGAGGAGGGGAGGAGGAGGAGGAGGAGGTAGGAGGAGGAGGTAGGAGGAGAGGGGAGGAGGTGGACAGTAGGAGTAGTATGAGAGTAGGGGGAGGAGGCAGGTAAGAGCAGGAAGCAGGAGGGGAAATAGGAGGAGGAGTGAGGAGGAGGAGGAGGTGGAGGAGAGGAGGAGGAGGAGGAGGAGGAGGAGGTGCAGGGAGGGGAGGAGGAGAGGAGGAGGAGGTGAGAGGAGGAGGAGGAGGAGGAGGTGGAAGGAGGAGGAGGAGGAGGAGGAGGAGCAGGAGGAGCAGGAGAATACGCAGGAGGAGGCGGAGGAGGAGGAGGAGGAGGAGGAGGAGGAGGAGCAGGAGGAGCAGGAGAATACGCAGGAGGAGGCGGAGGAGGAGGAGGAGGAGGAGGAGGAGGAGAAGGAGGAGGAGGAGCAGGAGGAGGAGGAATTTCCATGCCCTCGCCCTGGCCGGGCCTCGGCGGCGACCCCTTGTCGCCACGGCCACATCCGCTTCGAGGTGCTGGCAGAGTTGCGCTTCAGGATGTCGCTGGGTGTTGTCGTCCTCACCGCAGCCGCCGCTTCTGTCGTCGGCGGCGTCATCGTCGCTGTCCATGGCGTTCGGTCGTCGCCGCCGCCGTCGCCACTGCCGCCGTCGTCTTGGTCGTCTCCGTGATCGTCGTGGTTGTCGTCGTGCGCATCGTCGTGCGCCTCATCGGCGTCGTCGTCGTCGTCGTCGTCGTCGGCGGCGGTGTCGTCGTCGTCGTCGTCGTCGTTGTCGTCGTTGTCGTCGTCGGTTTCGTCGTCGTCGCCTCGAAGTCGCAGGCCCCGCGCCCGGTACGCTCGCGCTCGGGCGGCCTGTGCGCGGGCGACGCGCCGCGGCCCGAGGCCTCGCCGCGGGAGGCCCGCGCGCGGCCCGCCGCCCGCGGCGGGGCGGGTCCGAGAGCGAACGGTCGGAGCACTACAGCGGACAGTTGCCCGGGCCTATCGATGTAGGCCTCCCAGATGGGGTCGGAGTAGGTGGGGTCGGAGGATCGCGTCGCATCGCCGATGCATCGGCGATGCGGCTCGATGTGGAGCCCTATCTTCTCCGCGCCGGCGTCGCCGACGCATCGCCGGCGTCGCCGATGCATGGGCGATGTGGTGCAATCCTCCGACCCCCTCTACTCGGACCCCATCTAGGAGGCCTCTAATCAAGACCCAGTGGGGGAGACCATGGCCTCCTGTAGGCATACAAGCATGCATTAGAAATGCGAGGCACACAAAAAATTCCGAAGCTGCAGAACACACACAAAAAGATGTAACGGAGGGGGAGAGGAGCCGCCGCCGGAGCTGCGGTCGGGAACCTTGGTCGGCGGCGAGCCTCGGGGGGGAAGCTTCGGGAGTTTCGGGCTCGAGGTTCGAGGTTTGCGGGCATTTACGGCTGTTTTCCAGCCTCGGGATGCACTCCAGCAGCTGCGCCTCGTCGAGGGCGTTCCAGGGGTGCCAGAATCGTCCCGAACAGCTGCCAGAGGTCCGAGGTGTGACCCGAAACAGATCAGGAGCAACGTTCGGGGGGACATTCTCGGGAGCTTTGGCTTAATGTAATGTGTCGTGCCGCCGGTTCTGGCCCACTACGCACTACGCTTCGGCGCGACACGCCATCCTCTTCGCGGTCTCCATGCGACAACGTCCCGAGCCTTCCCGAGCCTCCCGCCCCACGGAGCGGAGCGATACTTTGTCTGCTCGCAGGGCATGGCGTGCCGCGGAGGCCGCCGCCGCGACACGCCACATTTCGAAAAGTAGCCGCCCTCCATTCGTGACGCTGTTCCAAACTTTGGAAACGCATGTGGGCGGGACTCATACGAGAGCCACATCTTGAAAACGGCCCGCCCTCCACCTGAGAAACTTTTGCGAAAACGTTTGAGACGAATGTGCGCGGCGCTACAGCGAGAGCCACATTTTGAAACCGGCCCGCCCTCCATCAGGGAAGCTGCTGCAAACTTTAAGATGAAGGTGCGCGGTTCTCAGGCGAGAACCACATTTCGAAAAAGGTCCGCCCTCCGCGTGGAACTGTTCTGAATTTCAAGCTGCAGGGTCATAGATGGCGAGAGAGTCTCAGGCGAAACGCCCGGCCCGCCCTAACGACCTGTCTACGGGTGCGACTGGTAGGAGCTATTTGATAGAAAAGGAAAGGTAAAGGAAGAGGAGGATGATGATGAGGAGGAGGAGGAGGAGGAGGACCCCCAACTCCACCCGTTGTGAGAAAACCGTGATGGGAGGGTTTGGCCGTTTTCGGCATGTGTGGGCCCCCACCAGGCCCCAGGACAGTCAAACAACGGCTCGGTATAGAAACCAGGTCCTGGAGAGAAGGGGTCCAGACCTCTTGGGGACCACGCTGCGAGAGGAGGAGGATAAGGAGGAGGAGAAGGAGGAGGAGCAGGGGGCGATGATGATGACGACGCTGCTGCTGATGATGATGATGCTGCTGATGATGCTGATGATGATGTTGATGATGATGGTGATGATGATGCTGATAATGCTGATACTGCTGATGATGATGACGATGATGATTATGATGCTGATGATGCTGATGCTGATGATGCTGCTGCTGCTGATGATGATGATGCTGATGATGATGAAGCTGCTGATGATGCTGATGATGATGATGATGATGGTGGTGATGATGATGATTATGATGAGGAGGATGACGATGATGATGATGATGATGATGATGATGGTGGGATGATGGGGATGATGATGATGATGATGATGATGATTCTGATGATGGTGACGATGACCACGACGAGGATGATGATGCTGCTGCTAATGATGATGGTGATGATTATGATGATGAGGATGATGATGATGATGATGATGATGATGATGATGATGATGATGATGATGATGATGACGACGACGACGACGACGGCGATGATGATGATTACGATGATGATGATGATGTTGATGTTGATGCTGATTATGATGATGATGCTGCTGATGATGATGCTGCTGCTGATGATGATAATGATGATGATGATGATGATGATGATGATGATGATGATGATGATGATGATGATGATGATGATGATGATGATGATGATGTGGATGATGATGATGATGATGATGATGATGATGATGATGATGATGATGATGATGATGATGATGATGATGATGATGATGATGATGATGTTGATTGCTGCTGCTCGCTGCTGCTGCTTGCTGCTGCTGCTGAGGAGGAGGAGGTGAGGAGGAGGAGGAGGAGGAGGAGGAGGAGGAGCGAGGAGGAGGAGGACGGTGGAGGTAGGGGGAGGAGGAGGAGGTGGAGGAGGGAGGAGGAGGAGGAGGAGGAGGAGGAGGATGAGGAGGAGGATGAGTGGAGGAGAAGGAGGAGGAGGCGGAGGGGGTGGAGGAGGAGGAGGAACAGGACGAGTAGGAACAGGAGGAACAGGAGGATGAGGAGGAGCAGGATGAGAAGGGAGGAGGAGGATGAGGAGGAGCAGCAGGAGGGATGAGTCCCAGGGCCTGACCTTGCTTCGTGGACGCAGCCACCACAAGAGCAAGGACGGGGGGCCATACATCTGGATCCAAGGGACACGCGCATAGGAGTCGTGTCCTCCTCCTCCTCCTTCCTCGCGACCTCCAGGACTCGGAGAGGGGGTCCTCGACGCGCGTGAGCGGGCGAGGAGGAGCATCGGTCGTCGGGACGGAAGGGCCATGTGGCGGCTCCCCGTGACGGCTGGCACCTCCGCTTTGCGGCGCTCTCGCTCGCGGTCGGTATCGCAGTGCGCAGTGGTCAGCCTTCACGGGGAGCCGACAGAGGGCCCTTCCGTCCCGACGGCCGATGGTCCTCCTCGCCCGCTCACGCGCGTGGAAGGCCCCCTCTCCGAGTCCTGGAGGTCGCGAGGAGGAGGAGGAGGAGGAGGAGGAGGAGGAGGAGGAGGAGGAGGAGGAGGAGGAGGAGGAGGAGGAGGAGGATTCGATCCAGATGCATGGCCCCCCGTCCTTGCTCTTGTGGTGGCTGCGTCCAGGAAGCACGGTCAGGCCCCGGGACTCCTCCCTCCTGCTGCTCCTCCCCCCCCCTCTCCTGAGGACGACCGCTGCGCGATCAGGCAGAGTCTCCAGAACCCCCTCCTCCTGAGGACGTTCCCTCGACAAAGGACCGTGCAGCCAAGACGCTGAATGAAGGTCCGCTGTGGGGCTCGGGAGGGGCTCGGGTTTCTGGGCCTTGCCTGGAGGTCCCTGTCGTGGAAGCTGCTCGTGGCCCAGGCCCGCCGTGGCCTGGAACGGCCCCTCGTTCTCTATGCTGCGCTCCTGATGGCAGCACGACGGCTGCACACCCACTCGACCTCTCGAGCTCGTTCCTGGCCTCTTCCCGGGCCGCCGACGTGCAGGGGACTGCCAGAGTCACACGGAGGATCGCCTGCTCACCTTGCCCTCTCGGCCCTGTGTTCTCAGTACAGGTCTTGCCAACCACCTTGTCTTTGAAGAGTTTGCCAACACACTAGCCATACGGTCGGGCTGGAGTGTATGATCGAGGCCGGTTCGGCGAAGGTGCCTTACTGTTCTTCGTGGTCGTTGGATGTCCTCGTGAATCCTGGGGGAGGGTACCCTCGAGTGATCCGATGGTTCTGGGTGTTTTGGCCAGCGGGGGATCCTCATGCTCTTGCAGAGTGTTCTTCTGTCCTAGGTCCGACCGGACAGATGTGGCCAACCATCTTGTCTGCGAGGGTTTGACCAGCTCAGAAGCCATGCAGAGGCGGCTAGACCCAGACCCCCGACGTCATGATTTTTTCATGACGTCGACCCCCAGCGGTCTGGACCCTTTCCCCCGGACCGGTTCTTCGTCCTGAGTCGTTTTTTGACGGTCCCGAGGGCCGGTAAGGGCCCCCAAAGGCCAAAAATAATGAAAAACCTCCCGTCGTGTTTTTTTCATAACTCGAGGGGGTCTGGGGAACTCTCACGTTCAGGGCGCGTTGCGGCCATTCTTACGGGGCTGGTGTGCGAGCGTGTGGTCCGTGACGAGACATCGGCCAGCACCTGGAGGGTCGCAGGCCGCCGAGGCCACATCGGTCGCGCACGCGCTCGGTGGGGCCAGGGCATCCTTTTATGTACAGAGAGAGAGGGAAAGATAGAGAGAGAGGAAGAGAGAGAGAGAGAGAGAAAAAGAGAGAGAGGGAAAGATGGAGAGAGAGAGGGAAAGATGGAGAGAGAGAGGGAAAGATGGAGAGAGAGAGAGAGAGAGAGGGAAAGAGGGAAAGATGGAGGGAGATGGAGAGAAGAGGGAAAGATGGAGAGAGAGGAAGAGAGAGAGAGAGAGAGAGAGAAGAAGAGAGAGAACTTACAGGTGGCGTTGACCAGCACATTACCCAGAACCACCATCACCCTTCCACGTGAGGCCTGGAGGCATGGGGTCCTGGCCATCCTGAGACAGTCCTGAAACATCCGGCGTATAGCTCTCATGTTCCAGGATGTCTTAGTATGTGGCTGCTTCCGGAGATAAGAGCTCTGGTGGGCCTCAGGCGGGTCGTCATACATCTCATCCATCAGCGCAGGTTTGTCGCCCGGGTCCTCACACCAACTGTTGTGTTCAGTGTTCATGTGCGGGTCGTGGATCAGCTTTTCAACACCAGGGGGGCCTTGTGCAACTGTGGCCACCCCCTCACCCTGCACTATCGGGCCTTACTCTCTCGAGTGTGTGGGGGACGGCGACATCCAACGCATACCCCTCTGGCCTATGTAAGGTCCTTGTTTCAATATTGCCTGTTGGGCGACTCGAGTGGAACGCCCCATCCCCCTTGGATCTTTCGCCTTTCTTCCTCCAGGGGGCACAGGATGGACCCCAGCGAGAGAGAGAGAGAGAGAGAGACCGCACTGAGGCAGGCTCTAGATTTGAACAGTTCCAGGCACGATTGGACACCACCAGCGGGTCTGAGGAGGCACTGCACACCGGAAGAGCCACGCCCGTCAGCTGAGGCTGCCGTGGACTGCGTGCCTCATGCCACGACACAGGGGCGGCCGTAAAATTCCACACGCGCTGCCTCTCATGTCGTGCCAACGACGACTCAGACCCCCATCTCCCTCCTTTCCCCTCCACAGCCTCAGGGGCGACTGTCTATTGAGGAGGAGGAGGAGCGAGGATGAGAAGGAGGAGGAGAAGGAGGAGGAGGAGGAGGAGGAGGAGGGTTTGTTCTTGAGTGGTGCAAGGGGTTGGGTCGAGGGGCGCAGGGGATCTGCCGCGCGCAGGGCTGCCGCCACGGAGCCCGTTCCCTCTGGCAGCAGTGCCCCCTCGACTGGTGCTGCAAGCACACCTCGCCACCTGTCATGGTACTCCAGATCTCGTAATAAAGGGAGGGGGGTCTCATTTCGGGGGGGGTCTCTTCCAGGCTATCTTGGAGGGCCTGGGGGGTCTGGGGACGATGTTTTGGAGGGTTCTCCCACGGGGGAGGTCTGAAATGGCTTGTCTTGGAGGGTCCAGACCCCCTCCCTTTTATTACGAAATCTGGAGTACCCGCACCCGTCTGAGTGAAGGGGTCTTCTTACCCGCCATCCCTTAACCTAGCTTCTGGCCCCCCCCTACTGCGACTCGGGCAGTGATTCGGGCTCCGCAGTCCTTTGTGCGCGCGTCTCGCGCGGCTGCAGTCACCCGCCACTTGGATTTACTGCTGCCTGCCTTTTCTCATTATCATGCTTCCCTGGTCGGTTTTGTATAGGCTTCGACCTTTCTGCTCGCCAGGAGGAGGAGGAGGAGGAGGAGGAGGAGGAGGAGGAGGAGGAGGAGGGGAGGAGGAGGAGGAGGAGTGAGGAGGTGATGAGGAGGCATGAGGCAGCAAGGGGGGAGAGAGGAGGAGGCGGGGAGGAGGGCCCCCGGGTTCCCCCGCTCCACCCCCCCATCTCTTTACGACCGCGACCGCCCTCCCGCCCTGTAAAGCAACTCTCCTCCTTCCTGCTTCTCATCCTTGCTATCCTTCTTCCCTCCAGTGCAAACAGGAGCCCCCCGCAAACTGCCAGACCCCCCCCCTTTCTGAAGCGCTCCAACCCTTCAGGCATGCCCGACGGCGCAGATTTAACTTTCAGGAGGCCTCATCCTTCTCTTTTTTCCTCCCCCTCCTTCTTCTCCCCCTCCTCCTTCTCCTCCCCATGGGCTCTTCTTCGTTCTGCTGCTGCACTTGTTTATCCTACTTCTCCTGCTCCTGCTCCTCCTACTCCTGCTGCTGCTGCTGCTCTTCCCCCTCCTCCTCCTCTTCCTCCTCCTGTTCCTCCTCTTCTTCCTTCTCTTTATCGAGCCCCCTGGGGCCTTCTAAGAGACAAGTGGATGCCTCAAATATGCCCTAACAAGTTACATCCTCCTCCCTCCTCCCTCCTCCCTCCTCCCTCCTTCCTCCCTTCCTCCTCCCTCCCTTCCTCCTCCTCCCCCTCCCTCCTCTTTCCCCTTTCTCCTCCGCTTCCTACCTCCTTCTCCGCACTCCTCCCCCGAATCTCGGGGGCGTCCCTCCTCATCCCTCCTCCCTGCCTCCCTCCACCCTCCCTCTCTCCTCCCTCCTCCCTTCTCTCCTCTCCCTCTCCCTCTTCCTCCCTCTTCCCCCTTTCCCTCCTCCCTCCTCCCCCCTCCCCCTCTCCCTCTTCCCCTCTCCTTTTCCCTCCCCCTCTCCGCCCCTGACTCTCCCCACTTCTCCCCCCCTCTCCTTCTCTCCTTCCTCCCCTTCCCCCTCCTCCTCGCCCCCTTTTCCCCTCTTTCCTCCTCCCCCCTTCCCCCTCCCCCCCTCTCCTCTCTCCTTCCCCCTCTCTCTCTCCTCCTCTCCTCCTGCCCTCCTCCCCGCCTCTCCTCTCCCCTGCCTCCCCCTTCGTTCCCCCGTTTCCTTCCCCCCCCCCCTGCAGGCGCTCGGGGCCGGCCTCCGGCGTACCTCGTCCCGGGGCAAGGCGCCCCGGCCCGCCCCTTTTGAGCCTGTTTTTTTGTTTTTTTTTTTTTTTTTTTTTTGATTCAGGCAAGTTTTACTTGCATGGCGTTCGCCCCCCCCCCCCCCCCCTCGCCCTCTTTCAAGCGAATACTAGCGTGCAAGTGCCTTTCGACTTGCGTGATTTCCGCGCCCCCCCGAACGTGCAAGTCGTTTGCGGCTTGCTTCAGGCTCAGCCCCCCCCCCCCTGGTCCATGCAAGTAAACTTGCCAGAGTCAACAAAAAAAAAACAAGCTCTTTCGAAACTTTCGCCGGGCGCGGCTCGCCCCTGTCTCTTCCTCCAGGAGGAAAGGCGGGGGAGGCAGGCTGCTGCTGCTGCTGCGGCTGCTGCTGCTGATGATGATGATGACGACGATGGTGCTGGTGGTGCTTATGATGTTTATGATGCTGATGCATGTGATGACGATGATATGACTGCATGCTGATGGTGATGCTGATGCTGCTGCTGCTGATGAGGATGATGATGATGCTGGTGATGCTGATGCTGACGATGATGATAATAATGATGAAGCTGATGATGCTGATGATGATAAGGAGGCTGTTGATGCTGTTGATGTGTTTGTTGTTGATGCTGGTGATGATGACGATGGTGTTAGTGCTGACGATGATGATGCTTACGATTGTTAGGATGGTGGTGATGAAGATGATGGTTTCGATGATCGTGACGATGATGATGCTGATTATGATGATGCTGGTGATGATGATAAGCGGTGACAGTGATGCTGGCGATGATGCTGCTGATGATGATAATGACTATTATGGTGACGATGATGACACTGATCATGCTGATTGTCATAACCATGATGCTGTAGATGCTGATGGTGAGATGATACTGCTGATGATGCTGTTGCAGATGAGGGTGATGATGCTGCTGATGATGATTATGCTGATGCTAGTGACGATGATTTTGATAATGATTATGCGGATGATGATGCTGATGATGATGGTTATGATGACTGTTATGATGACGTTGATGATGGTCCTGCTGCTGATGATGATGATGATGATGATGCTGATACTGATGCGGAGGAGGAGGAGGATCGAGGAGGGGAATGGAGGAGGAGGAGGAGAAGGAGGAGTAGGAGACCAGTGTAAACCCAAGGGTCATCAACGATGGTGGAATAAACCCACCTTCCAAGCTCCCTCTTCCAAGGCCGCTACAAGGGTTCATTGCCACTGAGGGAGCTGCCTCGTTGGAAGACAACCGTTTGAAGACCCTGAATCATGCCAAAACATAATTCTCCAGACTCCAATGCCATAGACCAACCTGACTGTGACTTCTTGACGGTCCAGAATCGTGCCAGAACGCCATTCCTGGGACTTCAACACGACGAATCAACGTAACTGGTGCGCCCGCATAAGCCGCTCCCCCAACAAAGTTGCATATCTGGTACGTTGATCATGGGCATATGTGAAACGCTTGCAATGTTTAAAACGAATGTACGCGGCGCTAAGGCGAGAGCCACATTTTGAAAACGACCCGCCCTCCATCGGTGAAGGCCTTTCAACCTTTTAAGACAAATGTGCGCGGCGCTAAGGCGAGAGCCTCATGTTGAGAACGACCCGCCCTCCATCTGTGACATTCTGAAACATTTTTAGAAACGAAAGTGCGCGGCGCTAAGGCGAGAGCCACGTTTTGAGAACGGCCCGCCCTTCATTCGTGCAACTCTTTCGACTTCTACGACGAACGTGCGCGGCGCTACGGCGAGAATTGCATTTTGAAAGCGACCCGCCTTCCATCTGTGAAGCGGTTGTCAGTTTTTCAGCTTCAGAGTCATAAGTGGTGGGGAAGTCTCAGGCGAAATGACCCCCCCGCCCGTTCGACCAGCCTCGGGGTGCGAAAGGAAGAAGTCATTTATAAGGAAGTGTAATGGAGGAGGAGGAGAAGGAGGAGGAGGAGGAGAAGGAGGAGGAGGAGGAGGAAGCAAGGGGGGGGGGGGAGGAGGGCGGGACGGCTACGGTCGACGATCCTTGCAGCCATCAAGAGTCATAATCAAGAATCAGGAGGAATAGGATGAGGAGGAATGAGGAGGAGAACGAGGAGGAGGAGAGGAGGGAGGGAGAAGGAGGGAGGAGAGGGGAGAGGAGGGGAGGGGAGGAGGAGGAGGAGGAGAGAGTGTGAGGAGGAGGAGGAGGAGGAGGAGGAGGAGGAGGAGGACGAGGAGGAGGAGGAGGAGGGGAGGAAGGAGGAGGAAGGAGGAGGAGGAGGAGGAGGCGGGAGAGGGGGACGATGCGGAGGCTGAGTAGGAGTACTTAGGAGCGCGGGGAGCAGGAGGAGGGGAAGGAGGCAGGGCCGGGGGGGGGGGAGGAGGGAGGGGAGGAGAGGGAAGGAGAGGAAGAGGAGGAGGAGGAAGGAGGAGGAGGAGGAGGAGGAAGAGGAGGAGGAGGAGGAGGAAGGGGGGAGGAGGAGAAGGAGGAGGAGGGGGTGGAGGATGACGAGGAGGAGGAGGAGGAGGAGGAGGAGGAGGAGGCGGAGGAGGAGGAGGAGGACGAGTCAGGAGGGTCCACCCTGGCACCTCGATGCCTGGGAGCGCGGGAGGCCCGGACCCCCCGCGCGTGACGTGTGAGCGATGAGGCTCTTGGCTCCCTTTTCTGGACAAGTGTACTCTCAGCAACTTTGGCATAGCGTGTCGCGCCACGGGTTCTGGCCAACTACGCTTCGGCGCAAGAAGCCATCCACGTCCCTGTCCCCAAGCGTCGCCGTCTCGAGTCTGTCCCGCGAGGCGGAGCGACACGCTATTCGCTTGCAGGGCATGGCATGCCGCTGGGGCCAACGCCGCGACACGCTAAGCCAAAGATCCCGACCGTACCGCCGCGGTTCGTCAGCTGATGGTCCCGGGTGCGCCAGGCGAACTGGATTTCGGAGGTCCCTGGAGGTCCCCGAGGCCTCTAGAGACCCTGGTCGAGGATGTGCAAACGTTTGTTCAAAACTCCCATCTTTGATCCTCATCTATCGTGGTCGTTGCCAGCGTGGTCGTCTTCGTGGTGGTCGTCGTGGCGGTGGTCGTTGTGGTCGTAGTCGTAGTCGTGGTCGTGGCCGTGGTCGTGATAGTGGTGGTCGCGGTCGTCGTCGTCGTCGCCGCCGTCGCCGTCGTCTTCGCCGTCGTCGTCGCCGTTGCGTCGTCGTCGTCGTCGTCGTCGACGTCGTCGTCGGCGTCGTCGTCGTCGTCGTCGTGGTGCTTCCCCCAGGCCCTGGACGGCGACGACCCCTGCTCGCCGACGTACCCGCCCCGCGGCTCGGCGGCTCGGGCCGCCAGAATGTCCGCCAGGGGCCCCTCTAGACTTGGCTCAGGGCGGGCCTGTCCTTCTACAGGAGGAACGTTCAAAAACAGGCACAAAATAGTCAGGGGGCGATTTGTTTTTTTCCTTTGATGATTTTTGACACTTTGTCGTTATTTCGATTTTTTTCGTTGTATTCGCCTGTAGGAGGACACGCATGACCTAAGACTTGGGCGCCCCCTCGGGCTCTCCCAGTCCGGGGGATGGGGACTTCTCCCGAAGCCTCCCAGACTAGGGACGATCAGAATTTGTAGGGGAAGAGTGGGTACGATGCCCAATGGCCCAACAGCAGTTCCTGTTCGTTTTGAACAGGACTCGCTGTCCGCGCTGCCGCGGACGCTGTCCATTGAAGACAAAAAGCCGCCCGCCCAACTGCGGCCGCTGTCGGTTTTGGACAACATTTGTTGTTGGACATTGTACCCATTTCTTCCGGACCCATCTCGGGCGTCCAAGGTAGATGGGGTCGGAGGGTCGCGCCGCATCGCCGATGCATCGGCAAGGCGACTTGATGTGGAGCCCGATGTTCTCCACGGCGACGTCGGTGATGCGTCGCCGACGTCGCCGATGCGTCGGCGATGCGTCGGCGATGCATCGGCGATGCGTCGGCGATACGGCGCGATCCTCCGACCCCATCTACTCGGATCCCATCTAAGAGGCCTCTGTTCTTAGGGCGGACGAAGTGGGCGAATAGCCCACGGGGGCGCCGATGATCCACGTCTTTGGCGCCGCGCCCCGGCGACGGCGTGCAATGGTCGCCCTTGGCCCGTTCGCCCTCGTCGTCGCCGCCGCGGCTCCTCGGGGCCTGCTGGAGGCCCCAGGGCGCTCCAGCCAGCAGATGCTGGTCTCGCGGGGATGTCGGCAGCACCCACAGGGTAACTTTTACTGTGTGTGTGTGTGTGTGTGTGTGCGTGCGCGTGTGTGTGTGTGTGTTGTTTGTTTGTTTGTTTGTTTGTTTGTTTCTTTCTTTCTTTCTTTGTTTGTTTGTTCGTTTGTTTGTTTGTTTGTTTGTTTGTTTGTTTGTATGGTTGGTTGTTTGTTTGTTTGTTTGTTTGTTAGTTTATTTGTCAGTGTGGGGATTTTTTTGTGTGTGTGTGTGTGTGTGTGTGTGTGTGTGTGTGTGTGTGTGTGTGTGTGTGTGTGCGTCGGACTCCCATGGGGGGCGACGCGGGCGCTCTGACATCTTATCGTGTGTGTGATCGGTGGCGTGCGTTTTCTGGCCTCCACGCCCTGAGCTTGTGAGACTTTGGAGCTGCGTGTTCGGTTCGGACGTGCGCTTCTACCAGGGGCGCACACTGCCAGTAAGTATGTCCTTCCCCGTCCCAGCTGAGGCCGACTCCTCGAGAGGGCGATGGCCCCGAGACCCGAACGATGAACTCGGGGACGTCCCCAGACTTCTGGGCGCCTCGGAGGATCCGTCGACGGGCTCTTCGTTGCCGAGCTCGACGCCCAGGGCCATTTTTCGGGCCCCCGGGCAGGCAACAGCATGGCTCGCTGCCAGAAGCCGGGGGGATCTCCCTGTCGACGGACGTTCCCGGTCAGATGTCCGGCGTCTCCCCGTCGCCAGAGACCGCCTGGCACCGCGCGATGCCCTGACAGCCGACGCGGTGTAGCATGCCGAGAGCGTCAGTGTCCCGAGCCTCTCGAAGCCCTCCGAGCCCGCGGAGCGGAGCGACGCGCTGTCCGCTCGCGGGGCACAGCGTGTCGCTGGGGCCGCCGCCGCGACCGGCTAAGCAACAGGTCCTGCAGGGAAGTACCAACACTGGAGGGTTTTCTCGTGTCGGGCCCTTCGCCAGCTTGTCCGGCAGACACCGTTTCGACACTTGGTTGGGTGCTCGAGATGATCCGTAAGGGCTTCGCCCCCATGCTTCTGGCCCCCTTTTCTTAGAATGGGACTTGCCAGAGCTTCGTTGAGATGTCTAGACGCTGGCGTGAAGCAGTGTCGGGACTTCACGCGAGGGCAAATTTTCATGTACGAGGGTGTATGGCTTCGGTGGCGCCAATGATATTTAATTTGCGATGGTTTATGGCTTCGAATACGCGAATATTGTGTAATGTCCGAGGTTCTGTGGCCTCGGGGACGCGATTCTTGCATCATTTACGAGGGTTTATGGCCTCGGGGGCGCAAGTATCGCGTAAACTATGACGGTTTCTGCTTTCGGGGACGCGAGTATTATGTAATTTGCGGGGGACGCAAGTATGGTGTAATTTACGATGGCGTATGGCCCTGGGGATGCGAATACTGTATTTTTTTCAAGGGTTTATGGCTTCGGGGGCGCGAGGCTTTGTAATTTACAAGGGTGTATGGTTTCGGGTACGCGAATGTTATGTAATTCATAGAAGGTTTGTTGCCTCGGGGAAAGAACTATTGCGGGCTTTGTGACGGTACATGGGCCTCGGGGGCGCACAGATCGTGTAATTCACAAGGGCTTATGGCTTCGGGGACGCGAGTATGGTGTCATTTGCGAGGGTTTGTGGCCTCGGGGACGCACGTGTAACGCATTTTTCCCGACCTAGGCTCTGCCTAGAAGGGTTCTTACCCTGTTTGCTTAAAGGGCCAGGCTGTGCAACCCGCCCCGGGCGGTTCCCCCGGCATCCGCCCCGTGGTTCCCCCAGTGACGTCCCCTCAGCTCAGCGTTGCTGATCTCATCTGAGCCTAGCTTGGCTTAGCTTAGCTAAGCTCAGCTTAGCTTCATCTTAGCTTCGCTCAGCTGTAGCTTAGCTTAGCGTTAGCTTAGCTTTAGCTTAGCTTTAGCTTTGCGTTAGCTTAGCGTTAGCTTAGCTCTAGCTTAGCTTTAGCTTAGCTTTAGCTTAGCTTTAGCTTAGCTTTTAGCTTTGCGTTAGCTTAGCGTTAGCTTAGCTCTAGCTTAGCTTTAGCTTAGCTTTAGCTTAGCTTTAACTTAGCTTAAGCTCAGCTCTAGCTTAGCCTCAGTTTAGATTTAGCTTAACTTTAGCTTGGCTTTAGCTTAGCTTTCGCTTAGCTTTAGCTGAGCTTTAGCTTCGCTGTAGCTTAGCTTTAGCGCAGCTTTAGCTTAGCTTTAGCTTAGATTTACCGTTACTACTAATGCTGCTTTCCTAAAGGCTCCAGCTCCTAGGTAGGGTCGCACTGGGATAATTTGAAGGTTTATGGTTTTGGGGACGCGGATATTTCAATTTTCGAAAGTTTATTGTTTCGGGGGCGCGAATATTCAGCAATTTCTACGACTATTGTACAATTTACAAGGGTTTATGGCTTCGGGGACGCGAATATTGCATAACTAAGGCGTAATTCACTAGGGATTATGGCTCCGGGGACGCGAACATTATGTACTTTTACATGTCTCACGCCCCCCCAGGAATTCAGACAACGCGATCTGGGCGAGGTAAAAAAGCTGGTTTGGGGCTCCTCCCCATCGCGCGTTCAGCAACAATCAACAGTAAGGAAGCAGAACACAGGACTGTAATAGTGGAAACTGGAAGCTGCAACAGGAACAGGGAGCTGCAATCCTCACCCTTACAGCCTGGTGGCCCCGCAAGCGGGCCGGCGGATTTCTGGGATGTGGTCTTTCAGTGCGATGGGAACAGCATAACCGTTGGAAGCCCCGACTCAAGACGCGCTGGCGTGAGGACCCATCCTCTCGCCGGCCGGATTCCGGGCGGCCGTCCAGGCGGGGCTGCTGGGACATACCCAGGGCCTCGAGGCACTTTCAGAACTCCTCCCCCCTCCAAGGGTTCGAACCCCTGCTGCGAGCACAAAAGACGTACGGTGGGAGCGTTTGCTCACGAATACGCCCACGAGGTTTCAGACCCTGTGGGATTCGCTATCTGATGAGTGCGGCAGTGATGTCCATGGCCGATCCAAGGTTGGAGTTCCACGGGTCCAAGACCCTGGGCTCCGCATCCAATGCTTCTTTGTCCGATGCCCTCGCCGTCGCCTTACCCTGTCCATGGGCTCCGTCGAATTGGCCGCCGGATCTTCAGACTCGTCGGGGAGCGCGCTCCGACTTGGGCTCCGGGGCGAAGCCGGCGGCGGCGGCGAGGGCCTCCGAAGGTGTCCGAGCAGCAGCAGGAGCCGAGGCCACCCGCGGGGCCTCGAAGAGCAGCGCGCGTCGCGATCTGGGCCAGGGTGGCTGTCCTTCCCCAATGGGGGCGGCCTGAGGGTGCAGAGATCATCGCGCGCCGCGCATCGCCGGGGAGCGCGACGCGCGAAGTTAACCCCGAAGATCCGACGCAGCGACCACTTGCAGCAGCGTGGCCAACCGCGACGGGAGCCGCAGACCCCATGTTACTGCGACCTCTTTCGGACCAGGCCGAGCTGTGAGCCCAGACCCCCTCGCGTCGTGAAAAAATCACGACGGGAAGTTTTTCGCTATTTTCGGCCTCTGGGGGCCCCCACCGGGCCTCGGGAGCGTCAAAAAACGACTCAGGATGCAAAGCCGGTCATGGGGAAAGGGTCGGGACCTCTGGGGGTCGACGTAATGAAAAAATCATGACGTCGGGGGTCTGGGAGGGTCCCAGGGCTGGACCCCAGGCAGGGATTGCCCAAAATGGCAACGCCGGGATCTCAGTGAAGGTGACTTGGTCGACTACACGCAAGGCTAACCTTTCGCCGGAGTGACCTTTGTGGTGCGGGCCCAATGGGGCCTCCGATCGCCGGACGCGATGCGGCAGTGGCCTCTCTTGCGCGCTTTCGCTTGGTCCCTCCGCAGCCTCCCAAGAAGTCGCGCACCAAAGGTCGCTCTTACCCAGGGTCACTCTTGCGGGTCGTAGACATGGGAAGAGCGCGCGATTCCTGGCGCCCCTTCCCCTCCCTGCCAGGCCCCGGACGTCGTGGGGTTTTCTTTCATGACGTCGACCGCCCCCAGACGTCTGGCGCCTCTAGCTTTCCGAGGCTTTCCATCCCTCGGCGGCGAGCGAGCGGGTGAAGTCAGAAGGAGAAGACCTTCTCAGAAGGCCTTCAGCTTTCCGAGAAGTTTTTTTGCGTCTTCGGGTAATGTTCAGAGAACTTCTCGGAGGGCCGGGGGACTTCCGAGCCTTCTGGGAGGCCCCGCCCCTTCTCGCTTCCCCCCCCTCCCCGGGGGCGCGCCGCCTCATCCCGAGTCGTCTTGTGACGGTCCCGCGGCCCAGGAAGGACCCCCCAGAGGCCGCAGTAGATGCCCAGGCATCCGCCGATACGATCTCTCCAATCCGCGGCCCCAGCGGCCCCGACCCCTTCCCAGGGGGGGGGTGGCTTTCCAGACGTGCGACGTCCTGACTTTTTCAGGACGGCGTCCCTGGAAGTCCTGACCCCTTTCCCCGACGGACCGGTTTTTCGTCCTGAGCTGTTTTGTGGACGGTCCCGAGGCCCGGCGAGGGCCCCCCCATGGGCCGAAAAAGCAATGGAGCATGGGCCGCCCTGCTTTCTTCACGAGGCCCGGCGAGGGCCCCCGAGAGGGCCGGAAAAGCAGTGGAGCATATGGCCGCCCTGCTTTCTTCACGAGGCCCGGCGAGGGCCCCCCGAGGGCCGAAAAAGCAGTGGAGCATATGGCCACCCTGCTTTCTTCACGAGGCCCGGCGAGGGCCCCCGAGAGGGCCGAAAAAGCAGTGGAACATGGGCCGCCCTGCTTTCTTCACGAGGCCCGGCGAGGGCCCCCCGAGGGCCGAAAAAGCAGGATTGCAACAAAAACCTTGGTTTTTGGTTTTTGTTTTTGGTTTTTGTTTCAATCCTTGGTTTTGTTTCAATCCTTGGTTGTTGCAATCCTTGGTTTTTGTTGCAATCCTTGGTTTTTGTTGCAATCCTTGGTTTTTGTTTTTGGTTTTTGTTGCAATCCTTCGAACATTGGCCGCCCTGACTTTATTTCACGGCGCGGCCACGTCTGGGCGGCTCACGTCCCGGATATCCGCTTCTGCCGGCGCCCGGGCCCGGCCACGGGCCCCCCGCAGGCCGAGATCCAGGGCAGATAACACCGGCTTGAAAAACGGTCAGACCCTCGGATCTCCCGATGGCCAAAAGGCTCTCCGTCGTTTTTTGTTTGTTTGTTGTTGTTTTTTCTATGTTTGTTTTGTTTTGGGGGAGGGTTATACATATATATATATATATATGTATGTATTATGTTTTTTTTTGTTTGGGGGAGGGATATACACATATATATATATATATATATATATATATATATATAGATGTATATATGTGTATATATATATATATATGTATATCGCGGCATGGCACATCGCAATTCGGCACGGCGCTGCACATCACAGCCCTCGGCACGGTACATCAGCATCGATCCACTCCGCATGGCGTGCGCCCGTCTCCCCAACAGGCGTCTCTGGAACGCCGCCACGCCTTACAGTGCTGTATTCCTCTCTGGCTTCGTGGGTGGATCCAGTTTTTTTTTTTTTTTTCTTCTTTTTCTTCCCCGCGCGAGGGGGTCCGGGTGCGCCCCTGCGCCGGTGGCGCTGCTCGGCCGGCCGCCCCGCCGCCCTGCGAGTCGACACGTGGCCAGACCCCCGACGGCATGAATTTTCCACGACGTCGACCCCCAGCGGTCGGGACCCTTTCCCCGGGACCGGTTCTGCATCCCGAGTCGTTTTTTGACGGCCCCGAGGGCCGGTAAGGGCCCCTGGAAGCCAAAAAAAAAGAAAAACCTCCCGTCGTGATTTTTTCACGACCCGAGGGGGTCTGGGTGGCCAGCAGGGTCGGCCGCCAAAAATAATTAATGAAAAACCTCCCGTCGTGATTTTTTCATAACTCGAGGGGGTCTGGGTGGCCAGCAGGGTCGGCCGCGGCGCCCCCCCCCCCGCCAGCCCGGGGGGCAGCTGGGCAGCCCTCGGTCGGCGGCGGGCCCCGGACCCCCTCGAGCGATATCGGCCCCGACGCGCTCGCGTCGCTCAGAGTCTCAGGACCCAGACCCCCTCGAGTTATGAAAAAATCACGACGGGAGGTTTTTCATTATTTTGGGCCTTTGGGGGCCCTTACCGAGCCTCGGGACCGTCAAAAAACGACTCAGGACGAAGAACCGGTCCGGGGGAAAGGGTCCAGACCGCTGGGGGTCGACGTCATGAAAAATTCATGACGTCGGGGGTCTGGGGACGGCACGGTTTTCACTGTCTTCGGCCCTTTCGGGGGCCCTCGCCCGGCGCCAGGACTGGCAGAACACGACCCATAGGAGGAGAAACCGGCCCCCGGGGGGAAGGGCCTGGGCTTCCGGAGCGCTTGAAGGCACGGATCGCGGCGGGAGGGGTTTCGCGAGCCTCGGCCTCCGGGGGCCCTCGCTGGCCCTGCAGGGGCCGTCACAGCGGGACTTCGGACGAAAAAGGCCGGCCCCGGGGAGTGCGTCTCGAGACCTCTGGGGGTCCACGTCGCGAAAAGAGCGCTCCCCGCGGGCGCGTCGGCGGTGGAGGTGGCCCCGCAGGCGGAGGCCACCGGCCCGAGGCCGGATGCTTCGAAGCGCCCCCCCCCCCTGAGGTGGGCCGATCCTCGTCCGTGCCGCCGCTGACGCTGGAGCTCCAGGGCGGGCGCAAGCCGCGCAGCGACCCCCCCCCCCCCCACGGACCCAGGCATCATCCTCGGAGGCGCTCTCTCCACGCCACGGCCCCCGGAAGGGCCCCCGACGCCTCCCCGACGCCTTTTGTCCGCGGGGGGCAGTTCTGCGCCCCGGATCCGCTTTCGATGGTGCCGGGGGCCGATGCCGGGCCCGGGAGGCCGGAGTGTAGGCAAGACGCCAGCCACGGAGGGGAACAAGATAGCTGGTGCTGGGCATCGTGCTCCTGTCTTCCTCGCCCAGGTCGGGCGTCCAGAGAAGCTGGGGCGAGGGTGCCCGCTGTGAGCAAGCTGGCGCGCCATGCGCGGCCCTTGCCAGGCCTCGGCTCGAACGTGGGGTCAAGTTCTGACCCTGCCCTGGGCCGAAATCTGGCCAGCTTCGGCTGAATCCCGAGGAGTCCCGCTGACTCCAGCTTTATCCGGCTTCGTCCCGCGGAATCCGCGGCCTCTTCCGACGCAGTAGTCCCCCAGAGGGGGCTCAGTTCTCTCTGAATCCTCCCGACGACGACCTCCAGGCACTTGCCTCCTGACCTCGGGAACGTCCACAGAAGTGGCCAGGACGAAGGCCTGGTCCCAGGAATAATGGATCGAGACCTTTTGGGTGGCCGACGTCGTGAGCAAAACCACGGCGCCCAGGGTCGGGGAGAAGGCTCCCGCCGAGGCAGGGAGAGGACGAGCAGCAAAACGACTTGAGAGACTCGGACCTGCGAGGCCCTGAGCTTTTTCGAGGCGCGGCCCCCCCAGGAGGTCAGACCCCTGCCCCTGGGGGCCGCGCTTTTTCCTCCCAGGTCCGTTAACTCACTGGCCTGGGCCCCTCGAGGCGCCGAGAGGCGGCGGCGAGCTATGGGGGGTGAAGCGAGGAGGGGCGGGCCTTCTCAGAGGGCTCGCGAGTCCCCTGGCCTCCTTAGAGAAGTTCTTTCGGCCTTCCCCGAAGGCGCAAACAGAACCTCTCGGCCGGCGCGAGGGCTTCCGAGAAGTCCCGCGCTGCCTTCCGAGAAGGCCTTCTCCTCCTTCTCACTTCCCCCCCAGACACCCGACGTCCTGATTTCTTCGCGACGTCGACCCCCTAGAGGCCTCGACCCCTTCCTTCGGGACCGGATTCTCATCCCGCGTCGTTTCCTGACGCTCCCGAGGGCCCGGCGAGGGCCCCCAGAGGCCGACAAAGGGCGAAAAGCTCCCCGCCACGAGGTTGTCCTGGCCCGATGGGGGCTCGTCTCTGCGCCCCTCGCTCGCCGCCGAGACCTGACAGAAGCCCGCGCAACAGCAGGGTCGGCCCCTGGACCCCTCTCGAGGCCCCTCCCGCCCCGCCTCCAGGAGGAGGAGGAGGAGGAGGAGGAGGAGGAGGAGGAGGGAGGAGGGAGGAGGAGAGAGGAGGAGGAGGAGGAGGAGGAGGAGGAGGAGGATGAGGAGGATGAGGAGGAGGAAGGGGAGGAGGGGATGAGAGGAAGGAGGGAGTAGGAGGAGGAGGAGGAGGCAAGGGAGAGGAGAGGAGGAGGGGAAGGAGGAGAGGAGAGGAAGAGGAGGAGGAGGAGGAGGAGGGAGGATGAGGAAGGGAGGAGGGGTGAAGGAGGACGATGGGAGGGAGGAAGGAGGAGGAAGGAGGCAGGGAGGAGGATGAGGAGGAGGAGGAGAGGAGGGGAGAGAGGAGGGGAGGAGGGGAGGAGGAGGAGGAGGAGGAGGAGAGGAGTAGAGAGGAGGAGGGGAGGAGAGCGAGGACAGGATGGAAGGTAAAGGAGATCAGGGTCGGAGAGGCGGCCGGGCTGCGGCGACGAGAGGCCTCCCCGGAGAGGCCCAGAGGACGGCGAAAAGCCCCCCCCCCCCCCCCCCTCCCCCCCCCAAATCTTCCAACCCTCTGGTCCCGGACCCACTGGGGTGATGACACAATCACCACGACGGGGCGTGAGCCTGTTTTTTTGGATTCAGGCAATTTTACTTGCATGGCGTTCGCCCCCCCCCCCCCCCCCTCCCCTCGCCCCTCTTCAAGCGAATACTAGCGTGCAAGTGCCTTTCGACTTGCGTGATTTCCGCGCCCCCCCGAACGTGCAAGTCGTTTGCGGCTTGCTTCAGGCTCAGCCACCCCCCCCGTCCATGCAAGTAAACTTGCCAGAGTCTAAAAAACAAAAAACAGCTCCCCAAAGCTTCGACCCCTCGGTCCCGGACCCCCCCGGGGGATGACAACCATCACGACGGGGCGTTTTTCTCGCTATTTCCGGCCTCTGGGGGCCCTCGCCAGGCCCTCGGGACCGTCACGGGGTGACTCGGGACGAACATCCGTCCCCGGCGAAGGGGTCGAGGCCTCTGGGGGGCACACGTCGCGAAAACATCATGACGTCGGGGGTCTGGGATCCCAGACCCACGCTTTTTTTATATATATATTATTTTATTTTTTTTTTCTTTCTGTTTTTGTTGTTTTTGTTTTTTCATTTTTTTTCCAGGGCGCTGCCCTCAGAAGTCCCGAGCCCTTCCGGCCGGGCTGGCTCTTCCTCCCGAGCGAGTCGACGTTGGACGGTCCCGGGGCCCGGGGCCGGGAGGAGGTCCGCGCGGGAGCGCTGCAGAGGGGAGAGTGGGGGCTCCCAGTGTCACCACCCACCAAACCACCCCAACCCAACCCGAAGGCCTCGATTGGCACTCCATTTCTAGTGGGGGGGGGTTCGGGGAACACTGAAAAAACACATGGAACCCGTACCCCCCCAACCCGAAATTCGGGTCAAATTCGGGTCTTCGGGTTGGGTTGGGGTGGTCTGGTAGGTAGTCACAGTGGGTGCCAAGGTTTCATGGCGCCAACATCGCAGAGCGGATTTGGTTCGGAAAACAACGGGGATGGGCCCAGATGGTCCTGGAGAAGTTCGTTCCGGATTTCGAAGTGAATTTCGTGAGGATTTTTTTGGTCAGGAATGAAGAACTTTGTTTTTTGCTCGCCGGTTCGCCAAAAATCCGCTGCAGCACGTCTGCAAAGTCGGTGCAGTGAAAGGTTGGTTACCCAGAAATGGTCGCGTCGTTTACAAATCAGGACGGGAGGTTTTTGTGGCTATTTTCAGCCCCTGGGGGCCCTCGCCGGGCCTCGGGACCGCCCAAAAACGACTCTGGACGAAAAACCGGTCCCGGGGAAAGGGTCGGGACTTCCAGGGACGCCGTCCTGAAAAAGTCAGGACGTCGCATCTCTGTGTAGATCTGACCAAACCTGGCTTCTATGTGGGTTACAAATGCTCGAAGTGGCTTAGCGGGATGAGATCATTCCGCTCAGCGGGCTCCGCCCTTTTTGCTGGGATCATTCGCCCCCCTACCTACGCCACGAGGGGAATGTGTAACTCAGTGATGGGCAAGGTAAGACCAGGCATAACCCACCGTGGAATCCACTGAGGAATCCCCTGATCACCTGGGCGACCCCCGCGACGATCCCAGCACCTTGCCCCGAGAGGCCGAAAGCGACGAAACGACTCCGTTCCGAAGTCTTGACGGCGCGAGCACGTCCCTGGCGAGCCTCGAGCGGCCCGCCGCTGCCTCGACCCAGCGGCCCTCCTCCGCACGGCGTTCCCGCTCGGTTCTGCCGCGGCGTGGGGCGTGCCCGTCCGCGGAGGAGGCCAAGGGCAGGCGAAGGGGACGCGTGTGGCCGCAGAAGAATCAGGCAGTGGCGACGCGTCCTGGCGTGCCTACAGTCTCACCAAGCAATGTTCTAAGAACCTTTTGTGGTTCCCACGAAATGTTCTTATAGAACATTTCTGGTTGGGGCTGTCTTCTTTTATCACATCGGGTTTATGTTCTAAGAACATTGTTTGTGTGATTCGAACATTTTTGGGTTCTAAGAACATTTCGTGGTAGGACTATAGGAATGCCGGGACAGTCGGTCCCTGCTCACAAGAAAAAGCTGCAGCAACATACGCTTTCGGTGGCCAAGCTCCAGCGTTTCGGTGCACTCCAGGCCTCACGCTGGGAGAGTCCTTGACGAGTCCATCAACCTCGTGCTGCTTTGCTGGAGCCTGTGGTTGCTGCGGCTTGAACTTCTGCTCCTGCTTCGCTGCCTTCCTCAGCAGATCCCTGGCGGGATGAGAGGGGGATCTGGGGGATCCGGGTCTGACCTCCTGCCGATGCGGCTGCGGGTGGCTGAGATTCTCGAGGTGGCGGGTCTTCTCGGGCTCGCGTCCGCTGCCAGGCCGATGTCCGCTTTTCCGAGCAAGGCCGCGGCGGTTGCGGGAGTCAGAGCAAAAGTACTGACAGCACGACAAAAAGAAACGGCGAAATGGGGAGAATCGACCATTGAGTATTCCACCAAATACTGCCTTGTCATTTTTAATTGCTGCAGAAACCGGTCCAGCTCATCAACCAACTGCAGGTCGAGTAGAGCAAGAAGCTCGTCAGTCACGATGTCGTGGTTTTGACCTGGCTGTACTTCTGTTTCTTCGTTGACTGGGAAATGGTAGTATAAGCCGTCTGCGTTGGAGTCGTGCAGCCAGGCCCGACAGTTTCCAAGATGTTCCATCAGCATTTTGTGTAGTCTCCTGCAGCTCATGATCAAGTCGACATGATCGTCCTCCAGCATGTTCAGAGCTGCACCTCTCTTCGCCAAGGAGCCAGCAGTAGCAATTCCTGTGCGCTCAAAGGCCGAATAACATCCCTTTCCTCGCGTCGGTGTTTGAGGAAGCGGGCTTTCACATATTCGAGCTGCTTGTGGAAACTCGTTGCCTGCAACGCGCTTCCATAAGAAAGACCCTGGGTTGGCACCACCCACCGCCTTGCTGAGTGAGCTGCAGTAAGACAACGCACCCTTTTCAGTCCGGTAGCGTCGTGTATGTCCCTCAGATCATCTGGGAAACCATCAGCTTCGCGTACTCCTCGCCAACTTTCGCTACTTGCAAGGGGCAGAGCGAGAGCGGCACCGCACCACACTATCTGGCCTTGCGCCGTCTTCCATGGTCGTACACTCCCAGCCTGCACTCCTGAGGTATGGTATGTTTGTGTGGAAATCGCTGCGGTCCGTGAACAGAGATCGTCCGCAGACGCACGCAATACTTGTCCTATCCATGCCATGAGAGTGGTGAGTGGGGTTCCTGTTGGGGTAAGCGGAAACTTGCGCAGGTTCGGGAAGACGGCCGCGGTAGAATAAGGGGTACTCCGCATTCGCTTAATGTCGTTCCCTGGCTCGGTCGAAAGCCAGTGCTGCCGGAACGAATAGGACGCGTCGCCCTCCCAGAAGCGATGGAAGACCGTGCCACGCGCAGCCTGGCATGCCAAACAGTCCTCAGGTTCCCTTTGAAAAGGCATTGCAGACCCGGTACTGGCACCAATCTGTTCCCGAGCAAAATCCCCTGAGCGACCTGCTGTTCCTAGGGGGCGGCTTACTTTTCTTGGAGTGCAAGACCTCGGTCTACACGATCCAGGAGATGGGCCCTTGCGGAACTTTAGGGTCACCTGCAGAGATTTTGCCGAGGGCTTCCGTTTCGATGTACCTCCCCACCCCATCTTGACCATGCTGCTCAGTAGGGTTGGCGACGTTTCCCTGATGTCCCAGAGTTGCTCGTCGTCGTCCCTGATCGTGTAGGCGAGACAAGACCACCCAATCCTGTGGAGCGAGAAGAGGAGCGCAGTTCTCGCATTTTTGCATTTTGCCCAACGTTGTGGGTCCAACCGCAAGGGACTCGAGTCCTTCAGCAGCCGCTTGATCGCTGTTCAAATGACGGTCTGCGAATTCATGGTA